TTTAGAAGAAGTAATTTACAGATTTAGAAAAGAAAACAGTGGAGAGCCATGACTGCTTATATCCTGAAGAGACATAACATTAAACAAAAAGAAGGTGACTTTTTATAGATGAATTTAATCTCCAATATCAAGATGGGATAATGGTGTTGAAAAGGAGAGAGAGCTATGATTGCCTATATTCTAAAAGGACATGGCATTTAAAAAAACAAAGAGAGAATTCTTTATTTTACACAATTTAGTAACTGAAGACTATATCAAACTAGTGTGACGTGATAAAAAGCAACAATAATAAAATAAAGTAAGGTTAGTAATAAAAGTAATAGTTGCATGGTAACATCTGTAGTTATCATTATTATGTCTTATTACTTTCACTGATACATAACATTTTTGCCTGGCTGTGCTGGCCTGTTTAGGGAAAAATAGAAATTTGCTATTTACTGAATTATGTCTTCTAAAGTCCTTTCTTCTTGCTTTTAAAAAATAAGTGTTTTATTTAAAAATTTCTAAATATCAGGTCATCCCATAAGTTCTGTCTGAATTTTATCTTTTTTTAAAATGACCAAAATTTAAAGAGTATTTTATGATGTCTAATGGAGCTGAACATTATTTTTATGTTTAGATGCATTTAAACTGATCAAATTTTATTTCAGAGAACAAAATTAAATTTTGTTTGATTAAAACCCTGCTAACATGGAAGTACCCAAGAATTATTTGAGGCACATAATGCTTTATGAGTTCAAGAAAGGAAACTTAGCAGCCGAAGCGGCTAGAAACATTCACTCAGTTTATGGAGAGGAATGTGTGAATAAAAGAACTTGCAGAAGATGGTTTGCAAAATTCAGAGGTGGAGATTTCACCCTTGAAGATGAGTTTGATGAAAAGCTTCTTGAAGCAGCCCTTGAAGAAAATCCTGCTTTATCAGTTGAGGAATTGGCAGTGGTTCTCAGTTCAAACCATACAACTGTTCATTGTTGTCTTCAAAAACTTGGAAAAGTTCCTAAACTTGGAAAATGGGTGCCTCATCAATTGTCTGAAAACAACCTCAAATCCCGAGTTGACATCTGCTCTTCTTTCCATTCTCGCCAACTTGTTTCACCTTTTTTGGATAGACTTGTGACTGGTTAGAAAAAATGGATCTTTTATGGAAATGTTAAGCGTCATAGACAGTAGCTTGGTAAAGGGGAAGGACCCCAGCCACAGCCGAGAGGGAACTTCATGGGCAAAAGGTTCTTCTTTCAATCTGGTGGGATCGCCAAGGAATAATCCACTTTGAATTCTTACCACCTAATGTAACAATTAATGTTCAAATATACTGTCAGCAATTAGAGCATTTGAACCAAGCTTTGAGGAAAAAAAAGACCTGCGCTAGTGAATCGAAAGGGGGGGTGATGTTTCATCAGGACAATGTGCGACCACATACAGCAAGAATCACGTCACAAAAGATCGAAGAACATGGTTGGGAGAAAATTCCTCATCCACCTTATTCTCCCGATCTTGCTCCTTCAGACTACCATTTGTTTCCTAGCTTACAGAATCATTTAGAAGAAACAGCTATTGTAACACAGGAAGAGGTTAAAACTGACATTTGTGAGTGCTTCGAATCAAAGCCAAAAGAATTTTACAGTAATGGAATTAGTAAGTTTGTTAATCGCTGGAAGGAAGTCATAGATAATCAGGGAAAATACATTGTTGATTGAATGTGTAATTAAATGTGACATTTGGTCACTTGTTTTCTTTATTCAAAATTCGGACAGAACTTATGGGATGACCTGATAAAAATGCAATGTCAATTGTTATTTACTGTCTACTTGATTGCTCTTTTATTGTTCTCACTCCTTAATATTTCTGCTTTTTCTTCTTATTCTTTCACACTTGGTAACCCCTTTTGTTTTAGTGGCTTTATTGCCTTGCACAGGGTGATTAGATTAAAAATGTTATTGTATCATAGAGGAGGAAGTAAGCATTTCTTAATGAGTTCACTTCAATATACAGGTCGACCCCGAAGGAAGATTCAAGATCTGTTTACTGTTAAAACGTCAAAAAATGTGACTGACCCGAAGCCTGAGAAATTTGTGAATTTAGTTGGTATTGTGGACAGTGAAGGATCTGAAAGTGATGTGGAATTTAATTGATCAAAAGACAAGGTAAGTAAGTAAAGGTATTACAAACATGAAAAAAAAAACTTTTTCTTTTGCGGTGATGGTTTTTATGTAGGTATCTTTTACCATGATGAAAAAGGCACCAAACTTGATGAAAACATAAAAGTTTTATTACCAAAATGTTTGTTATTATTAACAGGAAAGACCAAAGTATTTTTTTTTGATTAATTTATTAAATTTTTTAATTCTTTTGAGCACAATTGAAATTTTGGTTAAAAATCTTGTTTTTCTTGCATCTGTGGCTGGGCTGAAGATTAGAATGGGAAATATATCGTCTTTTTTGTGGTAAAAACACATTGTTTTGGAAATTCTTGCAAAGATCAAATAATTGTATGTTTTAATTAAATTTTCAGGACTTATTCACAAATGAATGAAATTATTTTTTAAATTTTTTTCTTTTTAGAAAATCTTTGTAAAAAAAAATTTTTTTTTTTTTTTTTATCCTGTGACCCCTAGGGGCACCATGTGTACTGCAGCCACGGTAGAAGTGGTGTGTCTTGGGCAAGATGGCCTGACAGAGCCTAACCCTCTCCAGGACGGTTTTGAATTCAGAGATTTTCCTTCCCTTAGACTGGTTGCCACACAAGACTATAGAACCCAGTCTGTCCTGCTATTTACCCATGGCTAGGGGGGGAAAAGAAGATTCATATCTTTCCTAAGGGTATTAGCATGTAAGTGAATGTAATGGACCTGACTGGAATTTGAACTCGGTCTTGATTCCTCAATCCAAGCTGCTATTCATTACTCCACCCGCACATCCACATCTGTTACACCCACTAAATTTATGAAATTTTGAGAAATTAAAATTCAACCCTATTCATACTTATATTTGTTAAATGTGGGACTTGGAGAATTTAAATTTTCAATTTGTTTTTTTCAAACAGATACACCATTTACTGAAAAATAAAAAATGCAATTAACCTATCTAATTATTTAATTAGAAAAGCTTTTATTTGTTTTTATAAATAAGCTATATTAAGGACACTATTGTCTTAAGAAAAAAATATTTTTGATGAATAATGAATTTTTACAAGAATCATTTTAAGTTTTTCAAAATTTTAATTGAATAATTTTTTTTCAATATTTACTAATCATAAATGGAAAAGCTTAGTACAAATCATCAAACACCAATATTTTTAAAAGAATTTTGAATTTTTTTGTATGTGTATAAATGTGATTTTTGTAGATGTGGTGGTCCATACATGGCATTATCAGAAAATAAGAGCGATGACTATAATAAAGTTAAAGCCAGAAAGTGTTTAAAATAAAACATTAGATTATGGAAAATATTTTCTTAAATTTTTAAGATTACTGAGTACTTAAAAATGATATGTAAAATGTGTTCACATTATATTCAGTTAATTTTTATGACTAAAGCCTTCATAGAATAAGATCATTAATCTGTTATCATGCTATCAAGCATGTCAACAGCTTAAATAAACAGTTACCAGTGTATTAAAAAAAAAAAAAGAAGCATTTCTGCTATATTTTAAACTTGAAGTAAATAATATTTATTTCAGATTAATTATTCTTTAAATCAGCTAATATTCTTCAAATAAAATTTCAGAAAAGTATATTTTATTTTTGGAAATTTTTTTTTAATAAAGAGAATTTCATTGCGATGGAAGATGGCTAAAAAGGGGCAGTGAATTGGGAGTTTTTTGTTTGTTTTTTAGTTTTTTTTTTTTTTTTTTGCTAAAATAGCTGATTAGCATCTATTTTAGCAAAAGAAACAAAAGAAATCCCAATTTAAATCAGTTTTTGAAATACAGCAAAGTATTTTGCTTATTGGAAATATTAAATTTAATCTATTAGCTTGAAATTAAAACTAAAATAAAATCTTCTAGAAAGATTTTTCATTTTAAAATATTCGTTTTAAACTTTAGGTATTGCGTTTTTTGTGGTGGTACCTACTTTTTTATGTCAGGAAAATAAAAAGGGGAAGCTACTCTGACGAAGTTAATTATATAATCCGATAATTATACTTGTTCTCAGCAGAGTATTAAGAAATAGATTTCACTAGAAACAAGGAAAAGAGTACAAAACTGCTGTGTGTTATCTGTCCTACTGTATAGTAGTGAGTGCTGGACTCTTCTCAAAGATGAAGAAGAGACTTGAAGCAACAGAAATATTGTCCTGCAGAAGAATGCTGATGATACCGTGGATTGAACATGTGATGAAGTTTTGGAGAAAATGGAAACAAAAAACTAATACTTAACACCAGGTAGAGAGAGTTTAGGTTTCTGGTTGAAGTATGCAATGATGAAGGAGGGCTTGGAAAATCTGATACTCACAGGACAGATTTTGAGGGCAAGAGGGACAGAGAAAAACAATGCACAACATAATTAGTAACCTTGATTAAATGGATGATGGACAGGGAGTATGCGAAATAACACAAAGACAGTTTATTGAGAGCTACAAGGGATAGGAAGTTGTGGAGAACCATGATCACTAAGTCCTGAGGGGACACGACACATAAAGAAGGATACCTCATAAATAAGGCATTATTTAGTTTTGATTGTGAAGAAAGTTGGAAAAAACAGCACAGATACTGTTTAGTTTCAGCAAGGGGAAAAGAAGAGGTGATAATGCTCTCATATTTAACATCTCTTTCAGTGAAATAGAAAAACTTATCAATTCTAAATCTTTTCATTAGTACATTATTATTTTGTTAATGTTTGGAATTATACACTTATGATTATTATTGCAATATTTGGATAGAATTGTTAAGCTCATATTTATTGATGCATTCGGCAAATTTCCATGAGTATTTTTTAGTTAGCGAAATGAGATTATTTTTTCATTAAATATTATAATACATAAAAAAAAAATTAAAGAACTTACAGCCATATCACATTGAAAACACTAGTTCTCCTCTGATCACACAAGTTAAGCAATGTCGAGCCTGGTCAGTAACTAGATGGGTGACCACTTAGGAATACCAGCTTCTGTAAACATAAATGTTTGGGTGATGTAAAATATGATGTTTCAGAATGAGAAATCAGAGATCCGTGTTCGAATTCCTGTTAGGTTTGTTATATTCATTTGTGCAGATACCATTGTGTAAGGTATGAATCCACCCCCCAGGTATGGATTAAATAGTAAGACTTGTATCTGACGTCATAAAAAACTAAAAAAAAACTGTTAATACAATATTCACTCACAAAAAAAGAAAAGAATTATTCTTACAATCCCCAAAAATATGTTTCAGCTTTAAATAACCTACAAAAGGTTGATAAACCATAAAAAGAAGATTCATAGAGAAAATAGGTATTACTAGTATATATTAAAGTGAATGGGGAAAAAAAGATGTATAAATTTTTATATACCAAAATAATGTTAGGAAAATTACAGAAGTGATAAATCATAAAGAAAAGGAAACTAAATGAAATTGACTAGACTATATACTCTAGCACATTTAAAAAAAAAAAAAATTTTAAATTCAAAAGCTCTTCTCCTTCATGCACATATGTAGCCACATCAACATAACATCACTTTAATCCAATGGAGTCTTAAAGAATGAAATGCATAACATAAAGAATCTTTTCCACTTTGTGATTGATTTTCCTAATATTAAAGTGTATGTAAAACTTTCCAGTTAAAAATCTTGTTTTTTTTGTGCCAGTGTGTTTGACCGAAGATTAGTATGGAAAACTTAGAATTTGGAAACTATACTGAAAAGTTTTTTTTTAAACTTTACTATTGTTTGCTATAAGCCATGTGAGGGCAGGGAAGTTTTATGCACACGCATAAATACATCTTCACATTGTATATATAGAATCATTTCCCCTATTGTCTTAACAAAATGACATTAGGACCTAGAGTTGCGCTAAGGGAGATAACTATAGTTGTCTTAGTAGTATTTAATATTCCAGATTTGAAAAAAAAAACAAATTACTGAGTTTTACTCTTAAAAAATTCTGGTAGAAATTGAAAGATCCTGTAGAAATTTGAAAAGAATCCTGTAAGGAGGAGGTCACCTTGGCCATATTGTGTATTATCCACACAATGCACACATATTGGTAATGTTTAACCTTTGTGTCCACAAAATGGTGTGTCCAAAATATTCCCTTGACCCCGATACACTCTGCACTATTTATTTACAAAATTATAAAAATATGTAAACCAAGTACATTGCAATACTTATTATTTACCTTTTATAAAGATTTATTTAATATACTATTTACATTGTTCAGACTATTGTCCTCATCTTTGTTGCCATATTTATTACGTTTCGGCCATTGTACGCTCTGGCCTTCTTTAGGTGGTTGGAATGTCGAACTGAACCCTTTATTTCGCTCCCTCGTGTAGACTATTCTAGTTCCATGTGCCATGTCTAATGGATGTCAGTTATCAATTATCTCCTGTTAATTCCCCTCTCCAAGTTCTCCACCGCCTTAGCCAGGTATTGAACTCACACTCTTTGGGTCCTGTCACTGGATCTTACTAATGCCTTTATCTACAATGCAAGTTTTATTATTTACCATTTTATAAATAAATATGAAAACAAGTTTTATTCAATCGAATAAATAAATGAATAGTTTTTAATATCTTTGTTGTAAATTTTAAAGAATAAAGAAAAGGTATAAATTCATTTTCATATGCTTTGGGTTTTATTAAAATTCTACTCATCGCTTTTTAAAGACAAACATTGCCGAGTAACTGTCTATATCTCTGAGATGAGGTATTATGATTACTTGCATTAATCCTCATCTTAATTGCCATATTTGCAATGTTTCGGCCATTGTATGCTCCAGCCTTCTTCAGGTGATTGGAATTTCTAACTGAATTCGGTTCAAAATTCCAAGAAGGCCGAGGCATACAACAGCCAAAAAATTGTAAATATGGCAATGAAGATGGGGGTAACAGTACAAATAATGTAAATAGTGGATGTAAACATTGCTGAGGAATTCAAAAGTCTAGATTGGCATTAATAGCATGTCAGAGTAATAATATATTTCTTTTCTAACTTTAAATAATCCATTATTGTCGTTAATTCAATTTTCCTTGCCCACATATACATATCGAAAGTGGAACTTTGTAACTGGTCAATTTGGTTTTGTGTGGAATCTTTTAAAGAGTAGAATTCTCTGTTTGTATTTTGTATGTTTAAGTTAATTTCTGCATGAATTTAAGCATACTACTAGATTGGCAATTAGGTCTCATTGTTTTACTGTTGAAATAGATGTAACTATAAGTCCTATTCTAATAGTTACTTTTTTTTTTTTTGCATTTGTTGCTTATGGAATTCTCTTCTGGTTTCTTGCTTCCATGCCATATTAGGATCTTCAAAAATTTAAATACAACATCAATCGCCATCTTCTGTTTTTCTGAACTCTACTTTTTTCTTACCCTCTCTCCTCACTAAAGTTTTCATGTTTTCTTTTACTCTCTGGTGTCTTAATATCATTATTGCCTTGCATGGGGTGAAATGATTTAAAAAACAACAAAAAAAACACATAGTAGATCAACTTAATTGCATTGTGAACCATGTATTGATCAAATATGTCAATTTTAACTCTATCAGACAATGTTTTTCCCCATGCAAACAATGTGAAAGAATTATTCGACAATGTCAAACACTAACTTTGTCCTTTCCTGAAGAAGGTGGGTCTATGCAAAAAAAAAAAAAAATATATATATATTTATATACAGCATTTATACTATTTATATTTGGACTATGTATCTCAAAAGAAGAAGAGACAAACATGTTAACGACAACAAAATTTTAGAGAAAATAGAAACAAAAAGTGAACTTAAGAAACTTTGTTGTTTTTATCATAATGTTTTGGCTGTTGTACCCTCTGGCCTTCCTCAGGTATATCTCAATCCGGGTAATTTACAGGGAATTCCTAACTGAACACTTTATTTAATCTATGGAGATAAACTGTTCTCATTCCAGTGCTCATGTCTAGTTGATATCAGACAGATTCAGACAAAAATTATATGTAGTAGTATCAATCTTTGCATAAATTCAACACTGTATATAATGAACTCTTCCATCACCTTCGACATATGAGGTTCCAGCAGCTCCATTCTTAGAATAGAACAGTCAGGTGTCCTGCACATATGGTTTGATTATAGTGTTGAATGTTTGTGCAGAACGACCACTTTTTTTTTTTTTTTGGAAGAACCAAAGATGGTGAACCTGTACATATAGTGTGCCACAAGGTCTCCACCAAACTTCTTCAGGTTTTGAAGTTCAGAATTGTTTTTCACTTAGACTTGGTGGATGTGTGGTTGGTGTAATGGATAGAAGCTAGGAATGAGAAATCAGAGAGCCGAGTTCAAATACCAGTCAAGTTCATTATATTTACTTATATAAAAAAAAACAAAACAAAACAAATATTTGTTAGAAACAAAGAAAAGAATACTGAACTGTTGTGTGATATCAGTCCTCCTATATGTCAGTGAATGCAAGACAATCTCCTCTAAGACGAAGAAGAGACTTGAAGCAACAGAAGTGTCGTTTTACAGAAGGATGCTGAGGATACCATGGATTGAACATGTGAGCAATGACAAAGATTTAGAGAAAATGGAAATAAAAATACTTAAAAAGGAACAGTTAAAATTTCTAGGGCACATAATGAGGAAAGGGCTTGGAAAATCTGATACTCACAGGGCAGATTGAAGGCAAAAGGGATAGAAGAAAACAACGCATAACCTACTTAGTGAGCTTGAGTAAATGGATGGCAGAACAAGGTTTAAGAGAGATGACAAAAAGACAAAATTTATTAAGGGCTACAAAGGACAGGATATTATAGAGAGCAATGATCTTTTTGGAAAACTTTTCAGCTACTAGTATATATCTAATCTTTTTTTTTTTTCAATCAGATAGTAAAGTTACCATTTTTCATTAATTATCTCCCCCTTGGCTAATGTCTGACGTTTTAAAAGCTTTTCTTTTTTTTGTTTTTTAATGCTATGTTCAAATGACAAAATATCAAATTTTATTTATATTTTTTGTATCTCTTGATTGGGCTGAGAACTTTTCAGCGGCTTTGCATTATATTTAAAAAATATTCAGATAGTTTTTTCGTTAATTATCTCCCCTTGGTTAACCTCAAATATTTTAAAAGCCTTTTTTTTTTTCTTTTTCCTTTTACTTTTTTCCTTTTTCTTTTTTTTTTTTTTTTTAATTTATTCTAATGCCATATCTCTTTAGAACAGAATTGATCATGGCTTTTTACAGATTCCTTTTCTTCATTATTTATGAATTACAAATTTCTTGAAAAATATAGTTTCCCATTCTCACAGTTTTGAATTCAGAGTAGTCCTCCCAGACTACCATCCAAAGCTAGAGACTCTATTCTACCCTGCTATTTTACTCATAGTTGGGAAAAGGTGGAGAAAAGATGGATTAATGTCTTTCCCAAGGGCATTAGACTGCAAGGGAATAGACTAAGATGGAACTTGAACTTGATGATTACAATTTTTGCATCAATAACCATTACACTACTTGCCAGTCTTATATAATAATATTTTGTATTAAATTAAGAGTTTCATGAGGACAGATCAAAGTCAGCAGTAAATAAATCAGTGTTAAATTATTTATTACTATATTGGATCATGTTATTTAAATTATGGTAATTATGTGTGAAAAATAATATTGCCAAAATGTCCACCAAGGCTTCAGTGGCACACCTCCACTCGATGGTCAAAATTTTTGATGATGTTTCTGCATAGTTGCTCCTTGATCTCACCAATATATCTTATTATCTCATCCTTCAGCTGGTGAATTGTTGTTGGCTTGTTGGCATAGACCTTACTTTTGAGATAACTCCAGAGGAAGAAATCTAAAAGCGTCAAGTCGCACGATTGTGGTGGCCAATTGACTTTGCTGTTTCGAGAGATGATGCGACCTGGGAACTTCTCATTGCATTTCTGTTTGAATGCCTACTTTTATCTATTTAGGCTTCCATAACTTTAAGACGTTGTTTGATTGTTAATC